AGAAACGATCCCATTGGCCGGTCCAAATGACCGATTTGCTGAAAAAAAATCCAACCCAACTTTGGTGCTCTGAAAAAGTGTGCAGATAAGTACGTAAAGAAGCCGTCCTCTGATTTACTTTTGGTTGCTCCTTGCTCTTAACTGGGCAGGGAGTGACAATGGGGTCATCCAAGTTGAAGCATCTATTTTGGGGCAAGCAGTCATAAGAAAGGGCTGGTAGCAAATCCAGAAGTTGGATTATTGCCTCTCAGCCCTTTGCAGGCTGAGATCTAGCAGGGGTGTCCGGATCCCAAGATTTCTGGGCTGCACACAGGATGCTTGCCAATGGATTTGGGAGTCATTGGGGATGCATGGGGGGTGCACGTGCACCCGCTGAGATTGGCTGTGCAAACCCCGGAAGCTCCAGCCGTAAAACTGGAAGTGCCGCCGGAAATGCATTTCCAGTTTTGCCACTGGCTTGGGGATTGTCCGCTGGGGAACGCCCCCTCCAGTCAATGATCAGCTACTATCCCCCCCACAGCAATCTGGTGCCCCCCCCAGACAGGAGGAACCAGTCGCCCATGTTGGGAATACAGGCAACCCCCACTTAATGCTGTTTCACTTAACACTATTTCGTGACAGCGTTCATTTAAATTGATACCTGATCCCACTTAGCGCTCAGCACATTTTGTTATATAACACTCGCAGTCGCCATTGTGGGTCCTTAAAAACACTTGCAGTGACCATCTTGGGTCATCAAATACGTTTGGTTTTGCTTAACGCTCATTTTTTCAGGAACCAATGAAGAGCGCTAACTGGGGGTTGCCTGTATTTGAAGTGCCAGGGGGAGAGCCTGGGGTGGAGGATGTTTGTGGGTTGTAGTGCCATACATGGTGCTTAGAATGAGTTCTGCGTGGTCGATCGATGTGGTTTTTGAAACAATTGAGTTCCGTTCAGTCAATATGATTTGGAACTGATTTGGCTGATTTGACCTGGAACACAAACTATATTAATTAAAAAAAACCCCAAAACCCAAAAGTTAGCTAAAATGCTCCGAGAGTGACTTGGGTTTTGCATACACTGCATCAATTAACTGTCTTAAAAACCGTCATAGGTTTTGAACACTTTTACTATTATTGATCAGACATTGCACAAGCATTGCAGTTATCATACCAATATGATAATTATTATACACCTGGCAACACTGCGATGGAGCGTCACACATGCTGCACAGTCTGGGGGCTGCATGGGAATCCTCGCTATCACTGACACTCTGGCCCTGGTGGCCTCCGGCTCTGGTGTTACTCCGCAAAGCAAAGGAGCGACAGCCAAGCGCTACCCTTTCCCCAGCGTTTCCCCAGTGGTGCCTTGAGGCTGGGAACCCACTAGTCTGTCCAGATCAGTAACTTCCCTCTGGCAGTCCAGCCCTGCCTAACAGAAGCCCTTGGATTCATCTTTCACCAAGTGGTTGTGTTTGGTGTCCTTTTTCCACTGCCAGAAATAAACCTAAGTGCCACTGGGTCAGATTAATAGCAGTGTTGCCAACTCTCATGATTTTTGGTGTTGTTCTTAAAGTCTATGCTTCAGCAATGTGAAAAACTTATAAAAGAAAGCTAATTTTTTCCCATCCCCAAAATGTAGACTTTAAGAACAATGCCAAAAATCAAGAGAGTTGGCAATACTGCACTAATCCATCTGGCCCAGTAGCCTGGCTTCACCTGTGGTGGGACACCCTTGGCGAGGACCAGGGTCTCCTGTGGACAAGCCTGTATACCACCCTGGTCCCACTAGCTGCCAGGGACTTCAGCTGGTGGCTTTTCCACAGAGCCATGGCACAGGCATGTATCTGGCATGTTTCATAGATGCCCCCAACACCTGTCCCTTCTGCCAGAGGAGGGACACCCTGGCTCATGCCTGCCTGGAGTTCACCGGGCTGCAGCCCCTTCACTGCCTCCTCCAGAACCTGCTGCTGAGGGTCTAGCTGCACTTCTCCCTACACCTTTTTCTTTATGTACTCTGCAGCCCCATCACATCTCCGGATCTGTTGGTCAACCTCCTTCTGGCCCTGGCCAAGCTGGCTATGGGGCCAAGATCCTGTCTCTGGGCAGATAATCGCTGGGCAGTGTCCAGTGGCTCTCTGGCCTCACTTGGGGACCATGGGGTGCTGTCTGGTATGCTCTGCTCCATGACACACTAGTCTCACCCCTTGGCACACTAATTTTAAATCTCTCACCCTCACTCCTGTCCCTGTTTTGTCTTTTGTTGTCCCAAGCATTCTGTTGTTGCCTATCTAGTGGCCTCCCTTCATAAGGGAGTAGGGTAGTCATCATAGAGGTCAGTCCAGTTGTCCTCTATCCTCTATTGAAACGAAAACGGATGCCTTTATGTCCTCTATTTTTCTCTTTAAGAGGACAGAGTAGCAGAAAGCGGGAATGTCCTCTATGATGGCTACTCCATAAGGGAGGCATATAGTGTTCCCTTGTGGGCATTGGTCCAGGGGCAACAAACAGATCTGGCCCTAGCCAAGATTGCAATCTGTGTGACCAGGAAGAAGCCTCTGCCCTGGGGGATCCCCAAGGGCTTTGGGGCTATTTTTCTGTCCCTTGTCCATTCACATCTCTGGGCAAAGTTTTACTGAGCAGTGTCCACTGGCTCCCTGGACTCATTTGAGGGCCAGAGTGCATTATCTGGTATACTTTGCGTGGTGTCCCCCCTTGGTGCACTTGCTTTGAACCTTTGACCTTCACTCCTGTCCTTGTTTTCTTCTTTAGTTGTCCCCTATAATCGCTTGATGTGCAGGTAGTGGCCTCTTGGATTAAGGGGGGCTTTTAGTTTTATTTGGTGGACAATGGCCCATACTCCCAATGCTCATCAAATAGGCCCATTTCCACCCATGACAGAAGCGGATGCTAGAGGGAGAGCCAGATAGATCTATCCTCTAAGGCAGTGGTCTCCAAACTTTTTTGATTGTGTACCCCATCAGTAAAAAATTTTTGAGCACGCACCCCCAATATATGTATATTTATATAAATAGAAATAGAAGTTCTAATATCTTCTTCTTGCACCCCAATGGATCGTCTTGGGCACCCCCTGGGGTGCGTGCACCCCACTTTGGAGACCACTGCTCTAAGGGTCTCAGCATTTTTAGATACAAGGCAACTGAGGGAGACTCCAGGAACCCCTCTGAAAATGCTAGCGCTTAGTTTTCACGACTTTTTGGCTACAGAAAAATAATAGAGCAGTTTTTCTTTCAGAAAGAACTCAGAATGGCTGCACCTAGGGATTTCTATTTGCAGTCTCTGGGATTATCTTATGAATCTCATTTGCACGCCTAAGAGTGCTAACATTGTGTGGCACCCCCTCACACCCTTGAAAGGATTGCAAGGCACCCTGGTTGAGAACCACTGCTCTATTCATTACTCTCCCTGGTATCCCCCATTATTGGTTTAGGGTAAAGGTGTCAGGAGAAAGATCTCCAACTGTTCTATTCAACAGCTAAGCAGTGGCAATAGCATTGGACTAAGCATTACCTAATAATAGCAGTATCTAGGCCCAGTTCTACAAACACACATGTATGTCGGGGCTTGACTTTCACAATAGTGTTACTGATCTCAGTGGGGCAGATTACAGGAGGAAATTAAACGGCAGGGTTGATTTGCATCTTACGGACTAATGCACATACACATAGGGTTGGATTAATCCTCTAGTGGCCCTTAGGCAAACAAACTTGTAGGCCCCCACTTAATACTATATATTTATATTACTTTTTTCACTTTATATATACAGTAAGCCAAACTGGGACCGTTCTTCCCTTGGGGCCCTAGAGATGTTCCTTGTTTGCCTGTGTGTTAATTCGGGCTTTTATACACACATGCTTTCTTGGGCTGAAGATTACTCAGTCATGTGCACAAGATTTGGCTCCACAATTCTCACGGTTATATTGCTGTTTTAAGTTTTGAAGTATCACTTCCTGATTTGAGTTTTTTCTTTTATGCAATGACTTTTACAGTAGAAGTTGACTTACCAGATAATGGTGATTTAATTTTTTTTTTCTATTAGTTCCTCAGCTTCTCTATGGAGGAAAGCTTGATTTTCTGGTGTTTGATTATCTTTCTGAAATTACCATGTCACTGTTAACTGCTGCGAAAGCCAAATCTCCAGTGAGTAAGACTTTAAATAATGAAATGTAATGAGAGAAAGAAATTAGAAGAATTGTCCAATTTATAGCATGATTTATTTTGCTTAGTTTTATATTTCTCCATGTTTGGGCATTAAAATATCATTAAGTTAAAGTATCATAGCAACGTGATACATGTTTTAAGACACAATCTTTCCAGTTATTCAGAGATTCAGGAAATAGAACTGTAAAGCTTTGTCAACCAAGCATTACAATATAAACTTCAGCGTACATTTATGGGAGACTGCATATGTGAGTAGCAAGTTGTAGGGCTGGGTATTTAGTGTCCATGGAAAATAGGAAGTATTTCACACTGCAAAAGTTCAGTTTTTATGATTTGCATTTTAGTTTGATGCATCTATCAGACTTGTTTAGAATTATTGCATATTTATTTATTCGTTAGATTTATATCCCACCATATCCAAAAGGATCAGAGCAGCTTATAATAAACAACTACCCCACAGACAGGATTCCCCAAACAGCACCCTGAAATCCCATTTTTATACTAAGAAATAGCAGCAGTTGCACTTTGTTAGAAAACTGCTGTAAGCTACACAAGAGAAGGGGGGTTTATCTCAAGTTTCATTATGGTTTCTATTTAGTTTATTATTATTCCATAAATTGTTGTCATTTCTAAATATTCAAAAATGAACTGTCATATAAAGGAGGAATAAGAAATCTTTCATCATTCATATAACAATGTATGGGGATGATTTTGCTAAATGTTACATGTTTTCATTATTCCAGTACTTGCTTATTCCCTCACAGGGTCAAGCCTATTTCTATCAACAGGTGTTTTTTTACTACCCTAAATGGAAACAGCATGGAATCATTAAGTTCTAATCCTGATGAGGTTTATGTACATGCATAATTTTAGTCACATGAGTAGCCCTGTCAAAAACAAACTCCTCATCCCTACCTCCAAAACCCATTGTGGATTGATTCAAGTTTAGTGTTAAAAATAATACTCCCAATTTCATGCAGAACTTCATTGGAGCTGTCATGATTCACATTAGCAGAGGTGGACACACAATTTTCATGGGATGAAAATTCTAATCTCAGATCATCTGGCTTCAGTAAAACCTCTTGTTGAATTGCTGGTTTTGAAATGTCTATCCTATATTGTAAACATGTGGTACTGAGAAGTGATTGCATCATTTGTTTCCTGAATGATTCAACAGACTAATTAAAATAGTTCTATTTAATAACTTTATTAGATTTCTATGAAGTTTTATTCATGACTACTTGTCTGATATTTATTTCAACCTATGTATTATTGATTTAGGGATTTATGTATTTCTGAGAAAAATCGATTTTTTTCAGGTTTCACTTAAAATGAAATCCATCATTTTTAATTATACAGTGACATAGTTTCTATAAAATGTGCTGTTTTTCATTCTTTCTCAAATGTAAGAGCCAATAAAAGAAAAGGGTGGATTTAGCCAAAATAATATTCTTGAAAATAAATTGTGTAACATTTTATTATTTCCAGGATTTGGGTTACACGCCTGATTTTATTTTGACTGCAATGGCTCCCTATATAAAGGATATTCATAAGAAAGGTATGCCTTCACACACACATGCATAGACAATTGAAAAACTTAATTTGCAATTTCTTTTTCTCCTTAGATGCATTTTTGTGTAGCTTCACTGTTAACTATTTATAAAGCTGAGTCAGAAATAGTTTTGCTATGTCACGACAGTTTTTGTGATTTCCAAATTTTTGCATCATCCCTATTCAGGATAAAAATATCATTATAAAGTTCATGAACATACAGCCTGAAAATTAAAATGGTAATTGATTTATTATACTGTTTTGTTTTGATTTTTTTAAAACATTTTTTATGATCAGTTACATTTGTAGCTGCCAAATGGAACTTTTAAAAAAGCCTTCGATATAGTATCCCACAATCACCTCTTGGCTAAACTGGCTAACTGCGGCCTCAACCTCACCACGATCCGCTGGCTGGGGAATTGGCTCCACTGTAGGACCCAGAGGGTGGTGGTCGATGGGAGCCAATCGTCTTGGTGCGCTGTGACCAGTGGGGTCCCTCAAGGCTCTGTCCTAGGGCCTATACTATTTAACATCTTCATAAATGATGTGGGCATTGGTGTCAGAAACAGATTGGCCAAGTTTGCTGATGACACCAAACTCTGGGGTAAAGCATCCACACCTGAGGACAGGAGGGTGATCCAGGCAGATCTTGACAGGCTCATGAAATGGGCGGATGAGAACCTGATGGTGTTCAACACCGAAAAATGCAAGGTTCTCCACCTTGGGAGGAAAAACCTGCAGCATGCTTACAGGCTCGGTAGTGCTATGCTGGTTAGCACTACAGATGAAAGGGACTTGGGGGTCAGGATTGACCACAAGATGAACATGAGCCTTCAGTGCGATGCTGCAGCTAGTAAAGTGGGCAAAATGCTGGCTTGCATCCATAGATGCTTCTCAGGCAGATCCCGAGATGTCATTCTCCTGTTGTACTTGGCCTTGGTGAGGTCACAGCTGGAGTACTGTGTCCAGTTTTGGGCTCCCCAATTCCAAAAGGTTGTGGAGAAGCTTGAGAGGGTGCAGAGGAGAGCCATGCGCATGATCAGAGGTCAGGAAAACAGACCTTATGATGAGAAGCTGAGAGTCATGGGGCTCTTCAGCCTGGAAAAGCACAGGCTCAGGGGTGATCTTGTGGCCACCTATAAGTTTATTAGGGGTGCTCATCAGGATCTGGGGGAACGTCTGTTCACCAGAGTGCCCTAAGGGATGACAAGATCGAACGGTCACAAACTCCGCCACGACCGATTCAGGCTGGATATAAGAAAGAACTTCTTCACTGTCCGAGCCCCCAAGTTTTGGAATAGACTGCCAGCAGGGGTGGTTCAAGCACCCACTTTGAATGCCTTCAAGACACATTTGGATGTTTATCTTGCTGGGATCCTATGATTTATCTTGCTGGGATCCTATGATCCCTGCTGACTTCCTGCCCCTGAAGCAGGGGGCTGGACTCGATGATCCTCCAGGGTCCCTGCCAGCCCTAATGTCTATGAAATCTATGAAATATTGAACATGTTGATATATTTTGTTTTTAACAATTGCAGAATTTTCTGCCAAAAATATTTCCTTATGAAATTTTTAAAATGACCTTTTTCCTATTAACAGTTCTAGTTTCAACTAATGTTTTATTGAAAAATTCAAAATCAGTTCTCATTGTTTAGATTAATAGTACTTTATTCCTGACAAACATAGACTGCTTAATGTACGAGTATTTTGCCAAACAGCATCTCTGCATGACACACTAAAGCTGAAATATGAGAATAAAAAAATATAACACTATATTTTTCCTTAGCTCATCATACAATTACAAACTATGCTAGAGTAACTGGTTGTTTCTGCTAAAATGATCTTGTTGAAATATAGATTTCTAATTACTAATAGGCTTTGAATTTACACCAGTGAGAACTCTTGTTTAATTCTTTAGGAGTAGAAATAGTAGGACAACAGGTTAGTTCATCACTTTTGGAAGCTTTTCTTTAGAAATATTAAGCTGGGAAAAATAAGACTATGAATGCCCCTCCTCCCCCCCTCACCCCGCCCCTAGACCTTACATTCTGAAGAACTTGTGATTGCTATGGAAGTGCTTGTGATATAAACTACTCTGTGACTGTGTCTACATGAGATGTTTACTGCACGGTTGGCTAATTACCTGCACAGTAAATGTTGTGGTGTCTGCATGTATGCCCCTATTAGGCTAAAGTAAACTAATTTACTCTGTAGCAGGATAGTACTTGTAAATACTATCCACAGCAGCGCACATGTGTAACTCCACAGCAAGGCAAATGTAGATGCTGGAAGGACTGGCTGGGGCACGAGGGTGCTTCATTGTGGGGGCTGCCTGCTGGCTAGACCCACACTGAAACTTCCTCATGTCCCAGCCAGCACATCTGCAGCACATTTTGCCGGCGGGGGGGAGGGGAGGTGGGGGGGGCAACCCTGGGCTGGCAAGCTGAACCCCAGACCCCCCTGCCAGCCAGAGCCGCTCCACCCTGGCTCCATGTGCTGTGCTGTGCATGAATAAACTGTAGAGCTTGTTGCTCCGGAGTTAATTGCTCCCAGGTACACATTCAAACAGCATGCGCAGGAGCAATTAACTCCAGAGCAATAAGCTTTGTAGTTTATTCATGCACCATAATTACATGTGTAGATGCACTCCATTTTGGCTCAATATAACCCATTTACTCACAGTCTAAATGAAATTGGTGTTTTTAATACACTCTTATAATTCAAATTGATCAGATGCCTGAGAGTATGCAAGGATGAATCCTATGTTTCAGGATGTTTTTGCGGGGTTTTTATGTAAATGATGGTTATAACTCTAAACTCTTTGTCTTGCTCAGGTGTTCGTGTGGTTAGCAATGCTGGTGGAGTGAATCCACTTGCATGTGCTGCTGCTCTTCAAGATGTGGCAAAGAAAGCCGATGTTGATTTGAAAATAGCTGTTGTTGCTGGAGATGATCTAATGGGCGAGGTATTTTACTGATATGTTTTATGGCTCACTAAGAGTGTGGTGAGTTTGACTGGCTTTTTATGCTGCACAAAGGTGACATTTATTATAGGTGGTATTATTTAGCACCTTGCTTTATCTAACTCCTTACTCATATTATTGGAAGGTATTTGATAATTATTACTTGTTTTTATCTAATCTTTTATTATATTGGAAAATCGTTTCTAACCTTAATCTATTTTGTATTTGTCATGCACAAAAGTTACATGTATATTATGTGAATCAGATTGTACTCAAAGAACTAGACATAACTGCTTCCATAATTGCTGACAATGATCATGTTTTCCATTTGTTACTCTGACGGCATTATAAGAACTCAGTCATGATTAGTGTTTCAGTTCTTTAACAAAACCAACTCAGTTTAATACAGACAAACAGTAACATGAATGAGCCTAGAAGCTCACACCTTTGAGCAGGAATTCTATCTTAACTTCTGTCTGTAGTTCAACCCAATTTTTCTAAGCATACTAGTTCCCATTTGATCATCTTAAAAAATAGTATTTTTTGTGAGATGAGGAAAATGTTTAGAAATTAGATACAACAGAAATTCAAATGTCCTGTTTAAAATTCAGAAACACATCCTATTTTTCCTAGTTATTTGTAAATGATAAAATATAAATGCTACATAATGATGAATGTTAGGCATTAAGAAGGAATGCTTTTTGTAGATCAAATGTTTTAAAAGAAAAATTTAATAATAAAGTCCAATGGTAAAACCTAGCCCTACTGAAATACAGAGATGTTCTGTTATCTATTTTAATGGGTCAAGAATTCACCCTGCATATACTCCAAGTCAAAGTTGGCTTGTGGATAGTTGTGTGTGGCATGGAGACTTTCTCAGGAATCCTCCCCCTTGCCTCCGGCAGCGTGTCATACTACTGCTGTTGTTCTGAAGATGCCTTTGATGGCACATAACCTGGCCTGCCTTAGATCTTGTGGTACTGGGTTCAGCAGAATGGAACAGGTGCATCATTTCCACAAGCACTGTATGGCAGAGTCATATCCATGTGTATATCAGAGAGTATCTTGCTGCCGTGGAGAAAGCAGGATATAGCTTTCAGTCAGTGGTTCCCAATCTGTGGTCTAGCGAGTATGGTCTGCAGATTACACTTTTCCCCCTCCCCTTTTAATTAATAATATGATCATAAGAATAGTCCACAAGAAATTCTGAAGTTTTACAGGGGCCCATTGACCTCTGTGGTTAAATCCAGACCCTGCTCAAGTCTGAGTTTTGCCATGGATCTCAGTTGCATTGGTATGTCACCCGTGGTATGTTGCTGAGGTGACTGTCGTGATTACAGTTTGGATATTTCTAATCTGCAGTCAACATTTTAGCTTACCTAAATTGTTGTTAGTTCATGATTCAAATAGGTAAAACACAATTATGTAGGAATATTTTTATTGTTCAAACCTTGTGATTGTGACCCAAGAGAAGTTCTCCCACAGTTCATGAACTGTGAGCTGTTGATTCCAAACTGAACTGATATTGAGACAAGGGAGGTAGCACCTGAGCTTCCCTTCTAGCTTCTCTGCTAGCCTTTGGCTTTCTGGCTTCACAGGCACCATGACTGAGCAGAAGTACTTCTTTAAAAATGATTTAATTTTGTTCAGTTTTAAAGGTTTGAAGGACATTTGAAGAAATTCTAACATAATCAGTTGATAAGTTATTTGGGCTTATCACAGCTGAATTAAATAGGACACTGATGTTGAAGGGTACATCTACATGGCACAAAGCAGTGTTATTTGAAGATGCTCCAAGCTAGCTGTGAATGTGCTAGTTTGTGTACTGGAGCTTACTTAATGCAAGATAGTGTTGTGCAGAGTTAATTAGTCCAGGCTCAGTGCTGTTCTAACATGGCTTCTGGTTCTGGAGCTTCTGGTTCTGGTTCTAGTACTAAATGCCAAGCTACCTCGAATATCTCTGTGCAGGGAGGCTTTGCATTGTGTAGATATATACAGAATCTCTTTTCTCTGTCTGCACAAAAGCTCTAAGGAAACAGTTTGAATCTTTCATTGGATAGTATGTGTTAACCCAGTTTACATGTTGCTTTGTATTTAACAGCAATGCGTTGCCTGGAGTAACTATAAGATGGGCATTTTGTTGTTGTTTGATGTTTATGAAGGATTTATATTAAATGCCATAAAATATTAATAGATTTGGTTGTTTTAACAGAAAGATAACCTAAAAGGAGCTGGTATCGTGGATATGGAGAGTGGGAAGCCATTTCCTGAGGGTATTCACAGCATGAATGCATATCTTGGGTGAGATACTTTAACAAGTTTTTTGTATGGTATTGATTATGGTATTAAATATGGTATTGATTATGTCTGCTAATTTCATTCAGATTATTTTAGTTTGAAAGTTAAATGATTTAATGTAAGATTTCTTTATATATGTTTTCCATATTTAAAACAACCTCCAAAATCAGATCTATTGTCTTTGTGGTTAATAAATATTTTAGGATAGTGCTTTACCTGCTGTGATATTTTTTTGGCCTCATATCTTCCACTATTCTTCCTCAAATTTTAGTTCAACCCAAAATAAGTGTAGAATTTAGTATATAAAAGGTATGCACCACTACACCTCCTTAAGCCATGTTTTTTAAAGTAAATGGCAATTAATTCTTTGCTTTGTGCTTTATTTAATGCTGTTGACATGTTAGGCACTTTCTGAACATTCCTACTTGATTAGACCCCTTAGGGACATAGTTGTGAAGAAGTCTAGTTTGTGAGTCCCATGCAACCTTAGCCAGGAGCTAGGTGCTGAGTTATTCCATCCAGCCAAGAAGGCTGTTACACTTGAGCATGTGCAAGTAGCAGAACAATAGACATCTGAGTAACTTTATAAGTGAAAACTCAGCCACCTCTAGATTCTCAGGTGCTTAAGCAGTTAGGCTGGATTTTTGTGCAGTGCTCAGTTGGACTTAGGTGCTTACATTTCAGCTAAGTTACACTAATATTTTTAGGCACTTATATGTATTTGGCATCTATTTGGGGGTGGGATTTTACCCTAAGTTTTTATTTTATTTTTTTTTCTTGCAAGTACTGTTTTTCGCTGTTTTGAGTCTTGACAGACAAAAGTCTGTTTTGGGGGAGGAGTATTTTTGGTTTAATTTTCAGAGTAAACAAAATATAATGTGATTTACACAGAAGTTAGGGGCTTGATTCTTGTTTGCTTGGTAAATGCTGTGGTCTGGGTCATGAAGGTTAGGGTATATCGTAAATGATCACTCCTGGTCTTTAAATATTTGAACCCAATGTAACAGAAACAGAAGACACTACATCTGTATTGTGAGCTTTATGTTATTTTTTTCTGGTGAAAGCTGCTAAAGTTTTAACCCTGACAGGACAGGTATAATGTAAACTGCAGTACTATTTCCCATATAGGTCCACCGATTTACCTTTACCTTGTCCTGTAGGATTAACTGCAGTAGAGGAGTTAGAGTTCAGGTTTCTCAGCTATTCCCCAAGAAAATGTCACTCTAGTCATATATGCTTTTTAAAAAAATCTGCCCACAATTAAGTATGGGAGAAGCAAGGGGTTTTTGTAGATATCTTTTATTGGATCCACTGTAAAGCTGGGAGAGATAAGAGACATGCCCTTCCTCAGGTCTGGGAAAGAAGCAGGTGCAGCTATATAACAAATAAAACAATGGCTTCTATTTAATTCCAGATGTAAATTAAGACAGTTACTTAAAGCAGGGGTGTTCAACCCCTGGTCCATGGGCCAGATCTGGTCTCCAGCACCTTTTCATCCATGTAGGTCTGGTTTGTAGGGTGTTTTGGGACCTGATCCTAGCACATTAGGCTTGGTGGAAGCAGCAATGGGGCCCTAGAGCCTGGTCTTGGCATATAGACCCAGGCAGAGGTGGTGTAGGGCTGTGCAGGGCCTGAGCCTGGCACATGGAGCTTGGTGGAGGTGGTATGAGCCCCTGGGTCTGATCCCTGCACATGAGGGTGGGTGGAGGCAGTGTAAAACCCAGTGGGTGGAAGAGTGTTTATTCTGTGAAAAGTGTTTTCCTACTGATGATTGTATGTTTCTGTCCTTTATCATTTTTTTCTGTGTAAGTTCATTCTGGAGCTGTTTAGTTTCACCCACATAGTTTCCATGAGACACTTGGTTTATTGGATGAGATTATACCACATTCTGGGATAGATGTGTAGGATCTGGGGCTTCTGATAGTTCTGGTGTTGGAAATGTTGATTGTAGTGGCAATGGAAATGTGTTGATAGTTTTTGCATTTATTGTTAAGGCAGGATTGTATTCCACTTGATGTCTGTAGGTCAGCCAGGGGTTGGGCAGGGTTTGGAGGTTGTTTGGAAACAAGGAACAGATGAGTTGGGAATATTTCTCTCAAAGTCTGAATCTCTTCAAGTATAGGCCGTAATGGAAGAGCTTTCTTATAAATACCCATGTGAGATGATATGTGACAACCATGGGCTTATGGTCAGCAGAGGTTTTCTTTTTGCATTGTAATTGGTTATTGTGGTGTATTTAAGAGGCTTGTTCACAGATGTGGCCTTTTTCTCAGTTTCAGTGTCCTTGCTGGGTAAAGGCAGTTTTTAAGTTAGTGAAGTGGATGTCAGAGGTGTTTTCCTCAGAGCAGATGCAGTGGTATCTGAAGGCTTGGCTATAGATAACAGCTTGCCTAATGTGTTTGGGATGATTGCAAGTTTTTCAGATGCAAGTGTAGTGGTCTGTGGGGTGTTTTTTTGCATATACTAGTTTATAGGGTGCTATCCAAACTATGGATTGTGGTGTCTAGAAAGTTGATTTTTAGTGTAGGAATATTCCAGAGAGAATTTGATACAAGTTGTTTGAGCTGTGGTGGAAACAAATTATAGAATTTGAGGTGTACAATTCAGGCGATTAAAATGTCATCTATGTAATGGAGGTGTAGTACATGTTTGATGGTGCAGTTTTCTAAAATCTCTATTCAGTGTGGTTAATGGAGGGATTGTCATGTGGAGGTGGGGAGAAGCATGTATCCATAGCTGTGCTCATGATTTGGAGGAATTGTCAGTTGTTGTAAGTAAAGCTGTGGGTGAGAGTGAAGTGCAGGATTTGTCCAATATGTTGTGGTAAAAGGAGAGTTTTATTCTTAGATCTCTGTTAGGATACAGTGTTCTTTCCTAGTGATTTGTGAGTACAAAAACTGCCTGTCTAGTGAGCTTCCCTCCACTTAACATGAAACAAAGGAGTAAGTTAGATATAGCCCCAAACAAGCAAAAATTAAATTGAGAGTTGGGCAAAAGTCAATAATGCAATGAAGGGTGGTGTGCACGGCTGTGCCCAACACGGTTTTGTTGCCAGGACCAAGCACTCACGTCTATTGAGCGCCAATTCTTAGGGCCAGACCACTTGACTTCCTCTCACTCAGGCTTGTAGGGAACATCCTCCAACTCACCAGTTACCTCTTGATCTTTTTAGAAGAAAGGGAGGAGCCTTGGCTATTTATTTTTTTGCTCTCATGAGTATGTCGAGTTGCTGGTCCTCAGGGCTTTTCCTCCCTTTACACCCCATCCATGCACCAGCCAGACCTGACAGGATTACCAAGCTGCCAATCATCTGGTAAAAGGATAACACAGCTAATGGGTCACTTAATTAGCCATGCTTTTTTACGGCTTGTAGTCTCGACCAGTTGAGAAGGGACTTGATAGTGGGCTACCGCTATATCAGAGGAGTGCATCAAGAGCTCAGTGAACAACTGCTTACTAGGGGACCCCTAGGGAAGACCAGGACCAATGGATACAAGCTCCTGGAAGGCCGTTTCAGGCTTAATACCAGGAGAAACTCCTTCACAGTCATGGTGTCCAGACAGTAGAATAAACACCCTCCAGAAGTGGTGCAGTCACCTATCCCAGAGGTTTTCAAGAGGAGACTGGACAGTCACCTCGCTGGTGTCACTTGACCCCTGTTGTCTTCCTGCCTAGAGCGGGGTAAGGGGGAGAGCTGGACCTGATGATCTGTGAGGTCCCTTTGCGCCCCTAACAATCTATGAATCTATGAAAATCCACTTCCAGCATTGTCTTAAGTCCCCCACCTGGAGGCACCTAGGTCTGTTCCACCCTTGGGTGATGACACTCCAGTCAATTGTAGCACAGCTACTACCTCCTATTGACTTATTCTATGGGGTCCACTGGCTAGACAGTCTATACCTGAGCTCTGCACAGGGTGCCCAGGGTCTTTCCCCTCTTGGCATAGCCTGACAATGTCGACCCCTTTTGTTGGCCCCAAGGCACATTGATAAACTATGTCCCCTTTTTCCTCAGTATTCTAGGGGATTACCAGCCCAGACTTAATGCTTCAGCCCCCAATAAAGTTCTTTTAGCTTTCAGTATCCATGACCGGTGGGGTCAGTCTCGAATGCCTTTAACCCAAGCAAAGAAAAAAGATCGCCATAACCTTTTTTAGCTTGAAGTTCATTTGATATTTGTATCTTCACTATTAAGGTGATTTAGTGTGTTTTAAATATGTTTTTAATTTGTCTTCTGGCAAAAAGGGGCCTACGTTTATTCATGATGATTTAAGGAAAACTCTTTAAGAAAAGCACCTGGCTAAATTTTTAAAACTGTCCATTTCAAAGGGAGACATTGTGATCTAGGCCAAGTACAGACATTACGCATAAACTGGTCTAAGTGATGGCAGATTGATCTAAACCTGTAACATACTGCAGCACAGGTACCACAGATGGCACAGGCAGCCTGTGTGTGTATCTATAATGTAGTAGATTAGGGAAGGAGTAGGCAGCACAATGCCAGATAGGGCCGGAAGCAGAAAGAAAAGCATCAGATCAGGCAGGGAGCACACAGCAAGAAGAAGGATGAATGGCAGATCGGGTAAGAGAATGGGATTGGAGTGTCACTGCGAGGCGTGCCTGTCAAATTCTGATGTGCTTGTCAAAAAGGTTGGTGCTCACTGAACTAGATGATCTGCATTATTTTGGAAAGTGATTTCACAGAGGATGCTTTGAGTGATAGAACATTATAGCTATGACATCCAATTATTTGTTACAATGTATTTTAAAATCTATTATTTGGGGGGAAAATATAGATTAAGAACTCAGGCTATTTTTGTTTTTTCATTTTTTTTATAATGTTAGAGCAAGACCAATAAGCAGAGCTCTTGACCTTGGAGCTGATATTGTTGTGACTGGCCGATGTGTTGACAGCAGTATTGTGTTAGGACCACTCATTCATTCTGTAAGTATGGACTAATTTTAATAAATAGTCTTAATGCTGTTTTCATGGTATTGTGAACACATCTAAAAATATTTAGTAACCATTGTCAAGTACTTTTTAATTTAGTACATGCATTTTGATAAAAACAGTGAGGTCATATAGCTTTTGGCCCTTTCTTTGACATTAAATTAATTCACCATTGGGTACATGACATTTTTTCCAGTTTCATTTAGTACATAAATTACAGTGTTCTTACTGCAAGTTTAGAAGCAAGTTGGAAACTTTCTTGTCCCATGTGGGATTCATTGGTCAAATAATGTGTTTTAGCTGAAGTACTTAAATAGCAACTTGGTGAAATCCAGGTTCCATTGATGTCCCCTGAGAAATTTGCCATTGTCTTCAGTAGAGTCCAGATTTCTTCCTTGCTCTTTTCTCTATTTAAATTGTAACATATAAGGTTGAAACAAAAATTTCCATTTACCACAAGGGGGCACTAACAGTTTATATTTATTTATAACATACTCATGAATTCTTGTACTGGTCTATTTTCTATCAGTCAGCAATTTTATTTTATTAAGTTGAGCTTTTATGCGACATGCCATAGATTGTTCAAATTTCAAGAAATAACACAAGGCAGGATGTATGGTTTTTTGAATATTTGAATAGCTTATATATCTTTATGACCACACACCCTGGAATGTTTAATTTTCTTATTGATGCACAGTAAAATAGTGCTAGGTTTGCGTGAATATATATTTTAAAAATAGTTCATTTTAAAGTTTACTGCATTTTTGACCCCATGCTTAGAAAATATTTCCTAATGTCTAGCTAGACTTTCCATTTCAGAGTTTAAGTCATTACTACTTGTTATTCTATTCATAACAGACTTAAGTGCATTATTAACTCTAAAGTAGTCTGTGTCTTAGTTGGGCATCTGCTATTGTCTTTTCTATTAATTCTAAATGAGAAACAACGAATAGTTCATGTTATGTTAAAATTTGATTGATAAATGCGCTAGCCGGGTAAAAAAACACCAAAGCCATGCCAGTTTTTAAGGAAGATTGTCAGTAGCCTTCTCACTAGCAATTTTGAAAAGTTGGAAATAACGTATTGACTTAAGTGGCATAGCAGGAAATGTATGCTAGACAGTATTATTATTTATGCCTTTAATACACTCAAGTTCTGAGGTGGGCTAGTCATTGATAATTTAAAGGCAAAACTTGAAATTCTTACTGTTTTTACGTGGGTGCATGAGACTGAGGAAGATTAATATAGTATTTTGGCAAAATAGTTCTTTGTGGCCACAGTTATATAGGCATGGTTGTAACCTCCACTAACCAATGAGATGGTTTTACGGTTTATTGTAGAAATCTAATTTAAATGGTCTATTACTCAGAATATCCACTGAATTTTCTTTTCTGTACATATATGTGTAAAATTTGTGTGTGTGTGTGTGTATGTGCATAATGTAGTTGTATTTTCTTTTAGTTTGGCTGGAACAGGGATGAGTTTGACTTATTAGCAGCTGGCAGGTAAGTAATAAGTATTAGAAATGTATAAACTCGTTATCATTTAAAATAAAGTGAAGGCAAGTGAACTTCAATATATAAAATACCTGGGAGCTCATATTACTCAATACTTTTGTGTGAATGCTGCAGTTTACTAATAGAGGTCTTAAAAATATATGCAGTTTTGAAACCTGAACTTTATTTAAAAAAATGTAAGAAATGAACACAAGAAAGTTTATACATAATGTTTTTCTGTCTGTTTTATGATAAAAAAAGTATAGCCTGTAAAGTTAGGTTCAGGAATTACTGGGTTCAGTCTGATGTGTTATGAAAGAAGTCAAAGTAAGAAGTCAGAATGTCCCTTGCAAGTTTAAAAAAAACACATGGTACTCTTATATGA